GAGTGTCCCCGCCAATGAAGTCTCCAGGGCGAAGGAAGTGTCCTTCTACCAGGGCTATACAACCCCATACCAGCACGTTCCTGGGTACATAGACATGGTCTCAACGTTTGGCTCTGGGGAACCGAGACACGAAACATACATATCAATGGAGGGCTATCAGTCTTGGACTCTGGCTAATGGCTGGAATAGTCAGGTTTACTGTGCCAAAGATCAGACACAGAGCTCGCACTTCTGGAAATCGTCCTTTCCAGGTACGAGAGGGGGAGAAATGGTCTGAGCAGAACTCCCCCGCGCCTCCTCCGCCTTCCCCCCGTCCCCTCCCCGCCCCCCGGCCTGCAGGGGCGGCCTGCCGAGCTGGACACGCTGCACAGACACGCATAGAGCAGGGTGGGGGCGGTGGATATTCTCCTTTTCTCACTCCCCCCTCGGCCGTCTACCCCCGAGAAAATCCTCACCCTCTGCTTTCAATACCCGCGGGACTGAGCCCAAAACCTCCCCGCCACCAGCGCCAGGACCCGCGGCGGCCTCGGGCTCCTTCTCCCGCTGCTCCCCTCGGTGGCCGGGTTTGTAGTCGCGTTTGAAGTTTGCAGGACGGTGGCTCCAAGTCTTGCTCTGCTCTGCCCCTCCGGAGGGCGACTGATCCGGCGGCCCCAGAGCACTTAAGAGACTGTTAGCAGTGAGGGCACAGAGGCACAAACCACATGCAAACAAACGCGGGGAACTCTCAGCAAAGCGATTTCTGTGTGCGCCGAGCCGCTCTCAGCCCCCCAGCCAATGCCCCTGCATGCTCGGTTAGCCATGCATGCCTGAAAAGTGATGACAGTCCATCAAGGTTTTGGTGGTGCTTTACTAGAGTGCAAATAATGTGGCAGTGTAAATAATAATCAACTGTAAACAACCCGGCATTATTTATTTGCCCATGAAAACCAGTGCCCAACAAGTATCGGTTAAGCTTTAAACGCCTGTAATAAAATTCTGATTTTTCACATAATGTCTTTTACAATAGGGGACGTTGCACTAAACCAGCCCGATATGTGTGTCTACCGGCGTGGGAGAAAGAAGCGAGTGCCGTACACAAAACTGCAGCTTAAAGAACTCGAGAATGAATATGCCATTAACAAGTTCATTAACAAGGACAAGAGGCGAAGGATATCCGCAGCCACAAACCTGTCTGAGAGACAAGTTACCATTTGGTTTCAGAACAGGAGGGTGAAGGATAAGAAAATAGTCTCCAAACTGAAAGACAACGTATCCTGATACATTAGCTGCGGACAGTGATGAAAATATAAACTCAATTTACAACCAGCTAAAGACTTTTGGAAAGACTTGAAAATATATTTAAATTTTTTTTTGTCCTTCCAGCGGTGGCGAAGTTTCGGGAATTGTTTTCCGTGAAAGTCAACGTTTTTCTCTCAGTGTAAGGGAGTGTTGACAACTCTTGAATCGAATTATAGTTTCTTCTTTTTGAAAATAATAATAATATTAATTATAATTATATTTTCTGTTCTTCCCTCTAGGCCAGTATAAACGAATTTAAATATGTTGAACGGTAACAGTTATAATTTTTTTTAATGCTTAAGTCTTTGGGGGGTATTCTGTGATTTTTTTTTTTTTTCTCTGAGCAACAGCCAGTGCCAAAAAGTGTCAGTTTTGATTTGGTATCGTAAACTTCAAAACACGCCGAGTGAAATATATATTAAAAAAATAATCAATCGGAAATACAAGAAAGCCGGAATACGGACCCGTGGCAGCACCCTGCTTCTGCCAAACCTGCCTGGTCCGCTGGGACCCGGAGAGAATTGCGTGGAGGGTTACTGGCTGCAGCAGAATTTTTAATTTCTTTTTCGAGGAAAGCAGAACCTCTCCGAGCGTCCCACCGCTCTCCCCGCTTCTGGAGCTTTTGGGTTGAGGTTGGGCTTCTGGGCTTTTTCGGCTGCAGTTTCGTTTTCAGAGCAAGGAGTGCGTGGCGGGCGGCTGGGAAAGGAGCCCCGGCTGCGGAAGGGAGGAGGAGGCTGTGTGCCGCTGATGCTGAGCGCGGACCGGCCGGCTCGCCCCGCGCCCACAGGAGACGCTGTCCCTGCAGAGGTGTGTATGGACCTGCACAGACCTGGCCGGGAATGTCCGCTCTGCCCTGCTTCTCTGGAGCAGCCCAAGACTCTTCTCCTTCCTCCCGCCCAAAAAATCCTTGTCGGACAAGCGAAGGTCACCGCTAGCTTTTAATTTACAAAACTAAACGGGTGTTAATGACAAAAGCAATAAATAAGGAAATTCAAAAGATGCCATAATTTATATGGGCCAAAAAGCTAAGATTTTGTCGATTTTTTTATTCTTTTAAACCTAGTGTGCATGTTATGATATACACAGGGTGATCAGACACGCTAATCAACAACTAAGAGAGAGAAGTGGTATCCTCTCTGTTAATGTGCCTCGTCTAATTATTAAAATGTGTTCCAAACTAGTATTATTTATTATAATATTCTATTGCTCTAAACATTTTGATTACCCTTGTATGTGGTAAGACATACGATAAGCCTGTTTCTCCATAAACCGCTTTTTAAAAATTTGTCCTTAAGTCAGCTTTTACTTTGTGTTGGAAATACAATCCGAACTTCCAAACTGTTAACTGTTGCAAATCTTTTCCTGAACCGTTTTCAATAAAATGATTTCTTTTCACTATATATAAAAAGAGAGACATAAATTCGCCTTCTTTTGCCGCAGGGGGTTTCACGGGCTCCAGGTTTGCCTGGGATCCTTTCAGGGACACTTACAGGACTCGTGTAAGTGACATGAGAGGTAGATACAACGAGACGTGCATTAAAGGATGAGGAAGAGCATCCGAGAGTGCCTTGTCGGTAGGCAAGGGTTTTAGTGAGAAAGAAATGATGCCGGCGAGAAGCACAGGGCGTGGGGAGCTGGCGAAGTCTCCCCTCTTCCTCCGAGCCCTGCTGTGTGTGCCCGGTGTCTGGCGGCCGAGGGCAGCCTGCCGCCCCTTTGTTCTCCATTTCCAAAATGTCCCGGCACTTGCCGGTTCCCCGGCGGCCGGCCCGGAGCGATTCCGCTCCGTTTTCTCTGCGACCGGCTGGCTTCATCGAGAGCTGATCTTCCGCCTCCTCCGCCCTCTTCCTTCCCCTTTCTGCTCCGCTTGCACGTTCATGGCGTTTGTTTTCCCTGGACGGACCAAAAAAGTCCATTTGTGAGCAGTTCAGATTTTATCGCAAAGCGCATTTTTGTTTAACTCTAGTATAAAAAGACGCTTGTGGTGCTCATCATTTACGTGCCTGGAACAGCCCTCTCTGCTGATGCAACCTTGTTTTCTCCGAATATTTTAAATTCTTCTCTTCTCCCCCTGGTACCCCCACTCACCCACACATACTGCCATTAATTAAACCTCTACAGAGGTTTTTTCCTCCCACCGAGTCTCCCTGCGCCCGGGCACTGCCAGAGCTGTTTTGTTTCCCGGCCGCGGAGCCATCGCGGGCTGTTCTCTTCCTCCTTCCAGGCTTAACCTTTGGCTTTGCCGGGCTCCGTGCTTCCAGAAGGCGCGGTTTGCCGAGCCAAAGCCGCCTTCCCCGGGCAGGAGGAAACCCGAACTGTCTGGCAAATGGGTACCAGATGGAGAGGAGCCCCCTTTTAGTTTCGTAGGAACGTGCAGGATCATTTAGAAGCCAGCAGCTCCAGGCAGGAGGAAAGTGAGGCGCGCATCTTCTGCTCTACCTACCGGCTGAGATTAAAAGGGTTTTCTAAGCCTGGAGCCGGGGCATTGGTGAGCCTTGTTCAAAAGCGCCTTGGCCACGGCTTGGGCTCTTCAGGACATCAGTTCCACGTGGCCCCGGGGCAGGGCTGCAGCCTCCAGCCGCAGCCGGCCCCAGCCGCCCATGTTCAGAGAGAAGGGTGCGATGATCCGCCTGAAACGGAGCGCACCTTCTTGCAGATAATGAACATGGACCTCGACAAACCCAATGGGAAATGCACAGCGGCGCAGTGATGCATTGCTTGGCTCCTGCCAGGCAGCGCCGTGTTCCCAGCCATGGCTGAGGCAATCCTGCCATCTCCTGGACAACCCCCAGCATAGGCAGGGGAAGCATTCTCGCATTTCCCAGTGATAAATGAGCGAGGGAGGCTGTCCGGTCACACGCAGAGCACCCTTGCTCTGTAAACTGGAAGACTACGCCGGTGAAATTATAGCGTGTGGTCAGCTCTGATGTCCAGGCCATTCCGGACGCCTATTTAAAAATCAGGAAATAATAAAATAAAATAAAATAAAATAAAATAAAATAAAATAAAATAAAATAAAATAAAATAAAATAAAATAAAATAAAATAAAATAAAATAAAATAAGCGGAAAAGAGGAAAGGAGCGTGTGAAAGCAGGCCTCCGGGTCTCCCTGTTCCTCGGTGGTGATATTTCCTGTACAGACACAGGCGGGGGGACAACCGCGGCATTAACACGCCACCCCCAAAGCAGCAGCCGGCTGGGGCTGGAAAAGGCGGCTCAAATCCGTACGAGGCTCTCTCTCTGCTCACCCCGCTCTCCTCGGCTCCGAGGCCAGCCGCCCATAGAACAAGATGTTTCTGTAAATGTTTCTCCATGTAGGTTTAAACATTTTCCGAAATGTGTCTTCAGCTATTTCAGGTTTTTATTATTTTATCTGTTTTTCTTTTATTTTGTCATTTTTCTTTCTTTTTTGGATTAATTAGCAATTACAAATGAGTTGAATATTAATTGAAAGCTCTGTTTTCTCTAACCCCATAAAAGTTGGTTTGAAGTGTCACCTTTCTTTCCGGTAACTGGGAACTCACATCCATTCCTCGTGTTTATTGCAGACAAAAATATAGCCTTTGAACTGAATGTTCTTTTTCTCTTCCGAGAACCGAAAATCAGAGTCGGCTCTTCGATAAAAGGCGATTATGAAAAAAAAATATCCTCCATCTTCTTAGGGAACACAAAGTTAGAATACAAGTCAGCTAATAAGAGGGAGATTCAATTGGTAGACATAATTCAAACAATAAAAATTAAAGGCAGTGGTCAGCAATATCCTCCAGCGGTGCTTGTGTGGTCCTGTGTGGTCTAGGAGAGAGCAATCATTTAAAGATTTTTTTTTCCAGGGCAATGAAATTACTGCAGAATTTCCCTCAATTTCCCATTAAACAGAAAGATGAATTTGATTAGGAGAATGTCAAGAAGGGCAGGGTCTCTGATCTCGCCTTAGAAATAAAACCAAGATTAAAACTGTGATTAAGAGGATAACAACAGGGAAAATTAACCCTACATGCTAACTAGGTTCAAGTTTTTAACCGAGGTAATGAAAGTGGGAAACTCCGGGCATTAAGGCTTCGCTTGGCGCCGGGCTCGCACACACGGGGGAGATGAGCTTGGGAAACAAGCCGAGGGCAGAAACGGCCGGTCCGGGAGCCTGATCGGCCCCAGTGTCCCGAGGATGTGTGGGGCGGCCGGGAGAGCAGAGCCCATGGGTACTGCTCTCCTTCCGAGCCTCCCAGCTCCCTGCCAGTGTCCCTGGGGGCAGCACACGGGGCCCTGCCTCTTCTCGGGGGGAAGAACAATGTCTCGAGAACCGCACGGTTCGGGAAAGAACCACCTCAAAATACCACAGTAATAAAACAATAAGGGACGATTTTCTTCTCATGAGAGAAAGATTCCCCACACACAACCTGGGAGATGAGGCTGACTCTCCCCTCTGCCCGCTGCTGCATTCACACCCTCTCTGCTGAAGAGCAGACCCTGGCATTTTTTTTTCTTGAAGTCTGTCGATTTTATTTATTTATTTATTTATTTATTTAATCTCAGAGGGTTGCTCAAGTAATTCCGTGTTGTGGTTGTTGCTATTCTCTGTTTGTTGATGTTTGCTTGATTGTATTTTAAAGATAAAGCAGACTCTGAGTTTTAGAAGCCTTGTGCGCCTAGAAGCGCTTCCAAGTGAGGATGAAGGGCAAAAGGGGGAAAAAAAGGGGCAGACGTGAGGACCTATGAGAATCCTGGTCATTAGAGTGCCAGAATGACCATCCCGGTGATATCCGATCCATTAAGACTTTATTTGCACGCATATGCAGATGCATATCATGCAGTTAGGGGCAGAAGTACATTCGTGTGCCCTAAACACTCACATCTCATAGACATCACAAGTAATTTCCAGTCCTCGCTGCTCACTCTTACCGTGGGTATGGCTGTGTGCCGGAGGGTGCTGCCAGCCGGGGGACACGGCGGGCACGGGGGCTGCACCCGGGGCTGCCCTGTCCTCT